TTAATTTTTATATGAAAAAGTACATTTCTCTCATTTCGCAATTAGTTATAATAACATTTATATACATTTTTATTTTAATACACAATTTTACAAATATACTTTCTACAGATGTTAAAGTATACGTAAGAATTATTTAATCATTTTTATATGCTTGTAAAGGTAATGAAAATTAATCCAAGACGAAAAACCCATCGTCTGTAATAAAGGTGCGAAAAACCATCGTGCATACTACGGGTTAAATCTTCTCGAAACTATAGACTTGGTCTACTTGTACCTTCAGGGCCTCACACCTAATCTCTATATTGCAACAATGTTAATTCTTTCTCATTTAGCATTTTCTTGCATTACGATTTATATATATTATGTAATCATACATTTACATAGACATTTAACAATATTACATCCAACTGACATTAAGATCAAATCCATTGCATTGCAATGGCATCAAATCTACGCATTGCACCTGCCCTCAACCTTTCATTTGCTATATTTCGTTTGTACTACAAACGCAGTATAAGTTCTCTTTGTCACTTTGGTTCTAAATAGAATATGACGCAGGTGCCCGGTAGACGATGCAGAAAAATAGCGATAACCTGCATAGTAGCAAGTCATTTTCTTTGTGCATTAAACGAATGACTAGTCAATACAAAAATGTCACGGCGAATACCCGCAGATCAGGGAATCGAGTTGCGGAGCACTATCGTCGAAAAAAATTCCGTCGATATTGAATCAAATACCGTGCTTCTCGACAATAGTTCTCCCTCGCAAGTACAAACTGCATTAATTATAAAAAAAAAACTACAAAAAAATTAAGCATTACCTAGACGATAAATTCTGTCTTAATGTAAAAACCTTAACGACGAATTTGACATTTAATTAACGGTTGCAATGACATTAGCACGCGGTATAACGCAATCATTAATTAAACGAAGCCGTCTCTATAAAAGGAGTACAAATCGGTAAGTAATCTGACCTATTATAACAGGAAAGTTATAAATATGGAATTGGAGGGTTGTCGATTTAATCGTACAAGTAACGATAAGTTTCGATAAAAATCTCTGAATAAAAACTCACGCGCGACTTTGAAAATACTTTCTAAACTAAAACACGCGATATCTTACACTCGCGAGAAAAAATTAATGGAAGAGTGCGATGCCGTCGCGAGCGATTAACTTAACAGAAGGAAGCAGGCAAATAAACTAACACACCCGTTCTCACGGTCCTCGATGACCGTCGAAGACGAGAAGTTAGAATACCACCTCACTTGGCTTTCAAAAATCACTGCGTCGCTCGAACGGACAACAATTCGGTTCGGGTGTTCTCGAGAAAGAGAGCTTATCACAAGATGTATTGAGATCCGAAAGGAATTTTGACGTTTACGTCGATTTTGTCGAATCGATGTGCTAAGGACGGCAATGTTGTGTTCTTTCGTAGTTCCGTTCGGCGATCGTCGAGGTAACGCGGCACGAGCGATATGATCACGATACAAATATGTACATATATATATATATACATATATGTGTATACATACATACATGTATATACATATACATACACACACACATATATATATATATATATATATATATATATATGAACATAAGATGAGCTATCGTCAGGTATTTTTACACTGAGATAGTTCTCTATCGTGTCGACGGGCCGAAGAAGAGAAATGAGTCACAGAGAGAGGAGGAAGAGGGGGACAAAAAAAAAATGCCAATATAAGGAGACATGCAATTAATGGCCGTAACCGGATTACGACTGTCGATACGGTGTAACTAGCGGGAAATATACATATGGAAGTACACGGAGAAGAAAAGTATCGACACAGTGTCTCCATCGGAAGTTAATACTCCTGGCGCTCGAAACATTAAAATTTGGTCAACGCTCGATCGCTTTAGCAACGACAGCAAGACGCACAATCAATGAAATGTGTCTCGGGCTCCCTTTCCTCACATCACCTTCCTACTTCGAAGACGTAAAGAATTCCCATTCTCGAACAAGCTCAAAAGGCGCATTGGTATCGTGAGGATCCGGGTGTCCGGAAAATAAGGGTAAGTGCTCCTTACAGTCCCGCTTGCGTTCTCTTATTTTGCAGGCCTAAAAATGTACGTTTATACAATGATGATATATCATGATGTCGAGTTGCACTTGCCGTCGCCGATGACGGCAAGACACCGGGAGCACGCTGCGATCAGTTTTCGTTTGTCGTCAGGCGGAAGATATACGTGCCAAAAAGCGTCCAAATATCAACGCGTGCTCCCGATATTGCTCTCGTTCCGTAATTATTATAATTAAATACTAAACATTTTTTTTTCAACACTCATTACGTTTTTCTATCAATCTATTTATCTACGATATACATTGAATTTGCATATATTATTATGTCCCTCGCTTTATTCACCTACTCTAGCCCAAACATGTCTCTAAGTAGATGTCTTTATATATAAATAGATTCATGATCTATGACTTTGTAATGCATCGTTTTGAAATAAATTGCCATAAGTTACAATTTATTTCAAAATGAAGCGCCAGAAAGTCCTAGACAAAAGCGTTCCGTTTCTGCACATGAACCGTATGGGACGATAACGCATTATATAAGCGCATTGATTTGTTTCCTTTTTCTTATCACCTTTATTGCGAATAGAAAAATAAAACGAATCATATGCGATTGGAATTCATTAACAATATGCATACAAATCAACATTAACTTAAATATGTAGGTTCTTCAAAGACATTTGTTACGAATTCCAGAATAACAAATGTCCACAACTTATAGCGAACATTATCGCAGAATGATCTTTTTCCCGCCTAAATAACCTTCGCGGCATTGCACGAGAGACCATTCTCATACACGCATGAACTGCGCATGGAGTGAAACAGAACGACTTATGTGTTCTTTGTAAATGCGTTCGCTTTGAATGCTTACGCTTCATTCTGAGAATTCTTCGTTTCACACATAATGCGAATAACATATTATTTTATCATTTTTTAATATTTAGTGAACAAGAATATAAAATGATGTATCATGAACATCATACGTGAAACGAAATGTACTCTAAGCTTTATTCTATTTTCCTTCCATATGTAATAAGCGATAAAGAAAAGATAAAGATGTCATCTCATAACACAAATTTTTCGCGTAATGCGTGTAATTAAGTAGAGACCATTTTTCGAGTCGTTACATTTCTACTACGTATTTTCTGTCATGCGAAATTTCTACATGTTCCATGAAACGTAAGAAAGTGGATGACGTGCACGATAACCATTCATATATTCTTTTAAATCCTTCTAATAGAAATATAAAAGCAATTTATTTGTAGAAAATGCATGAGAAAACTCGATTTTCAGAAACTGTGTACAATAAACGTACGTAAATGAACGTACTTATATAAGTGTATGCGTGTGTTGCGTTACGCATAAATCATCTCCATATGTCATAGAGTGTAGTTACAAATGCATAACCAATAAATTGCTATAATTATTATTTCGATTAAAATACTCTGAAAAGAACATAAAAAAGATTGGTTATCGTGTACATGCCATTCAAATTTTTTAGTTCCATGAGACATATGGAAATTGAACTTAGCGTAACAAGAAATGTAGAGTCGTAATAATTTAAAATACGCGTAATGGCTCCTAACTGATCACGCAATACGCGAAAAATCTACGTCATGGGACAACATCCTACAGCTTAAAGCACGTGAGCGCTTAAAGTGAACGCAGTTCATACGCACCATGTGCAAAACTAACAGATCCATCTAAACATAGAAATCACTTAGATGCACTTTGTTTTTACAAAGATATCAACTTTGCGCAATTGTATAAGTACGGTAATAGCCGTGAGAATTTACAAATGCAAATTTACAATATGTTCGCTGCAAGTTTTCCTATTTTAAACTAAATTTCTTTTAAATTATCGTCCTTCTCGCTTACTCCACATGCCTTGTGTGTTAAAATAAATTAAAGATATATACAAATATATGTACATATTTAATAATTAAAAAGTGAATATTGTAATTAAAAATATTTTTTTTAATTATTTAAAAAATGAATAAAAAGAAATGTGTACCATCTTATAGCAATTAATCTGGCTTATATTCATTCACCTTTTAATTACTGAATATGTTACATGTGTAAAATGCAAGGCCTAAGCACACTATACGCCTATTTCCAATCTCTTACTATTTTTTTTATATTCTTTACGATTTTTATGTATTTCGTATATTTTACATATCTTATATATATTTATATATCGTCTATTATATGTACACAATCCAATTGCATATATGATATGCAGTAGAGCTATTATTATTATTATATGAATATATGATATAAATTATCAAATATATATGACATAGCTATTTCGAATTAAAGTATGTAAAGATATATTTTAATTCGAAATAGGTATGTTATATATATATATATTATAAAAACCAATCAATGATATATATAATACAACTGTTTTTTGAATTTGTTTTCTTTAATTATTTTTATTTTTTATGAATATCTAGACAATAAACATATATGAAAAAAAGACAAAAAGAAAGAAAAAGAAAAAAGAGGGAGAAAGCAGGGATAGTTATTGGCTTCATATATTTTGATTGAAAATCACTATTGAATTCTATTCAAGCGATAGTTATAAATCAAGAAAAAAAGTCCTTTTTATGACAATCATCTGATTTATATATATCGTATCCTATCCTTAAATTGGATGAAGTTTTTATCAATAATTTCGAATTCTTATATAGTATTTCTGATCCTACCATCAATGTGTCTCGATTGATCAAAAAGCTTTTTTTGCGGCAAATAGAATCATTCCTATCAGACATATGTAGCTCGGAAACATCGAGCAGTTTCAAAACCGTTCATATTTCACTCTTAATAAGATAACAAATGCGCTGGATAAAGCAACGCGTTAAGCGAGAAGGATGATATTACATTAAAACCGAATTACAATAAAATCGAAGAATGATATTACAGTAAATCGAAACTCGTCATTTTTTACTGTGTAGTATACCTGAATGGATTGAAGTCCCTATTTACTACGGAAAAACCACGAAATTCTTCTTGATCGATTTCGTACGATTTGTCTGGACTATCCGGCGTTAACACAGGATCCTCTTTTGTAAACACTGCATCAAAGTTCAAGGCTTCTTTTTCATTTTTCTAAAAATTTCGAGAAACAATGATGTTATACAATTCTGTGTCATTTAATATTTATTAATTGTAATAATAAAGCGTAAGACTCACAATTTTAGGTTTGATTGGAGGCTCTACTCTACGCGCTTCAAGAGCTTCCCAATCTAAATGTTTGAAAAATGGCTGATTTTTTATAGCATGTTCGCCACCATCAGCTGCAACACAACCTAATCGCTTGGCAGGATTCTTGGTCATAAAAGCTTTTACAACAGACACCGCATCTGAAGAAACCCACACTGGAAACACTAAGTCATCTCGCAATATTGCTTCGAATAAATCGTCTTCGGTCTCGGCTTCGAAAGGTGGTTGTCCAGCCACCATCTCGTATAACAAAACACCGAGAGCCCACCAATCAACACTAGCACCATATGGCAATTCTTGAAGTATCTCTGGAGCTATATAGTCAGGCGTACCACAAAATGTTGATGCTGTCGATTCTCCTTCGATTACATTTTCTTTACACATTCCAAAATCCGCAAGTTTACAATGTCCTTCCGCATCCAGCAGTATGTTGTCCAGTTTCAGGTCGCGGTATATAATGTGATGTTTATGCAGAAACTGAAGTGCGAGTGTCACTTCTGCTGCATAGAAACGTGCTCTCGGCTCTTCGAATTTTCGAGCCTTCTGGATATGGAACATCAGATCACCTGGAACAAATCAAGAGATAATAGCAGTATTCAGACATAAATAGAAGATACCTTTCATATTTTATTCTAAAATGGCAATTTGTACCTCCTTTAACGTATTCCATAACGAAGAAGAGTCGATCAACCGTTTGAAAACAACTGTGGATGGCCGTTAGAAAAGGATGTCTTGCTGCAAGGATTAAAATCTTCTTTTCTGTCATGGTGCAATCTACATCTTCATCTTGAATAATGACACTCTTTTTCAAGATTTTCACGGCATAAATTTCATCGGGATTACTTTTCAGTTCGACTAACATTACTTTACCGAAACTGCCTTTACCGAGGACTTTAATAAAATTAAAGTCATCCAATCCAATTTTTTTTACATTGCTGTTTTTATCATCATCTGAGTCTCTTAGACTTAACTGCGAATCATCTTTGGTGTAGGTTGAGTCGCTATAACTCCACTGCGAATCATCTTTGGTGTAGGTTGAGTCGCTATAACTCCACTGCGAATTATCTTTGGCATTAGTTGAATCTCTTTGACTCAAATACGAATCATCTTTGGAGTTAGTCGAGTCATTTTGACTCGAACAACTTGCGCCCGTTTCATATGACTGGTCATCTTTTGAAGGAAATTTTATCGTTTTTTGTCCTTTTTTCTGTCCTTTTTTCATTCCTTTTTTATCTTTTTTAAATTTTTTATCATCTTGATCTTTTGTCTTGTCTTCGTCCTTTTCTGCAACTGTAGGTGTTTGTGGACGTGAAGATACTCTAATCTTCGGAAGTCTTATTTGTTGTTTATTTGCACAGAAATTTATTTTTTTCAAAAGGTCGCTCAAAGCCTTGGTATCTATACCGCAACTGGGTGCAACATTCTTATAACATCGTTTATGAACATTCATGTTGCAAACTATAGGAAAAATATAATGCATTTAATGAATTGACTTAATTAAAATTTTAATACAAAAATATAAACAATATTACATTACCATCGCATTTCAAGCCTTGCCTAAAGAAGCCGTACAATAAGGATCCGCAGTGATCACAAAATGTCAATGTTTTATAATTATGAGGATTAAAGCGATGGGGAACATGTATACTAAAGCGTGCTGTTGCCTGCGTGATTTTGGTTCCCTCTTCTCCTTCGACTGGAACAATCTAATTGAATCATAAAAAAATCACTATCTTAGAAAAGTAATAAAATGATAAAATCTAATAGAATAAATTCAAAATTGATAACATAGAGAAATTTTTGTGTGTGTGCATGTACACATAAATATCATATAAAAATTATATTTTATACCTAAATGCACAACTCTGATTTACTCATTTAATCACAACCTTATTTAATCACTATTTTCTCATTATATATGTACAAATAAGATTTCTGATAAAATAGTGATTAAGAAAGGTAAAACCGTCATTAATATCATTAAAACTCGCCGAGTCCCTGGGACCCTTTTGGTTGGTAAACACAAAATTTGTTCAATAGTTGATTTTAATAGTATTTCGGTGATAATATCAATTAACAATACATAAATTACTTGTGATATTTCTATTACTATCTAATAAACATACCTCTTCTTTCATTCCTGAACAATTAGTTATCACCAAGTTATGACATCTTTTGTGGACTACGCAAGTACATACTGAAACAGCAATACATAAAGTATCCCCTTATAAAAATGCTTGTTTCCAAGATGTAAAATACAGCACGTCCAAAGCTAGCTGCATGCGTGATAAGACGCATCCGAAAATTATTTACAATAATACCATAAGCAAAAATAAAATTGAAATTTACTTAATATTATTTTCAACATGGAATCAGCAGTAGTTTCGGTACTAAAAATATTACCAAGCTCTAAGATAGCATGTTTGGATTTTTTATTGAAGGACAACATATAACAAATTGTGACAAACTATTTAGCTACAAATCTAAATTGTATTGAAATAAATAAAATAAAATCAGAAGAGACAGAGACCTAGTTAATACATTAAAAATCAAAATCCTTATATTACTAACTAATATAGCAATAAGTTAAGTAACAAAATATTTGATCATAAAGCAGATTAATATCAAGGCGGTCATGTGTACTAGTCGTGGTGAATAGAGAATGCATAAATTGACGCGACAATTATAGGACGTCATGGTAGTTAGGAATGAAGCATTAAAGAAGTAAAACGTTAAATCGATGAAATAAGAATCTTAATCGTGATTTTTCTCGTCGTTAAAACTCGCACGTACACATTCGTAACTGCACACATTCATACGTAAGGGTGCGGCAAGCGAATACATAACTATAATCTGTTAATAACAGTGTATGTGTCTTCTCACCTTGACACTGATAGCCTTGCTTGCCAAAGCCCCTGAAATATAACAGACAAAACACGTCACATCGTATCCTCATAATCCCTCCTAAGACACATACGTTTGCTTTCTTCAATCATGCTTAGTCATCATCAATGCTAGACTCCTTGATTTTTAGATGATTAATGACTTGTGCGATGAGAAAGATTGATCAAATCACTTCATAGATCCTAGTCGATATTTAACCTTCTATTTTACAAATTATTTATCGTTTATTTTAAAATATTGCCAATTAGAACAGTATGTTGTGCAAATGCTCCAACACCTAAATATCTTATGGATTCAGCAAATTATATAAGGCATGTATTCTTGTAAAACCCAAGCATGCAACCCTGTTTAAAACCTGTTTAAAATAGAGAAATTTATCCCAAATAGCGTTTGTGTAGAATATACCCTGTAGCAATACCAAGCTTGCTTATTTTAATCTGCACTTAAGTCTCCTGAGTTAAAAGAATTATTTATAATAACCCAATCTCCAATGCAAACCATTATTAAATACATACTAGCTAGTAAATACCTTTCCTTGACATTACTAATGCAGATAACAAGAAAAGACCAAATACCCAATGCATGCAATCCTGTATTTTGCAAATTTTTAATTGATTAATTCGAGGTGTACTATTAACTAAATTTTGACATATTTGTAAATGTATAATTGCGGGTGAAATGTACATCAGTTTAAGCAGTTCCCGTTTTCTAAATATTTTGAGATAGTACTCTATCAAAGATAGCGATCAAGAAGTATTGTATGTAAGATCTTAAATGACAGAAGCGATGTTTTTTTTACAAATATACATACCAAATGAAGTCACGACAGTGTGAACAAAACGTCGGTTGTTTCAAAAAGGTAGCCATAAATTTATGTCCATTTATTTGATGAACCCTTCGTCGCATCACTCTCTGGCGACTCAAGGGTTCTTCTTTCTCCTGAAATTCTCTTTCATGCCGGTCTTTCTTGCGAGTATCTTTAGGACGTTTACGTCCTTCACCACTAGATTCTCCATGGAAACTTGGTTGCCGAACTAAAAATTAAATCAAGTTATTGAATCGTATATATTTATAAAAGATTGAGATTTTTCTTACTTGGAGCATTCCACATTGCTATTATTAGTCGCAACCTTCCATGAGGTTCTAAGTCAACCTGCAACAATTTTCAATGTTATTTAAATAGTCCCAAAAATGCACACTATATCTTCATATATACAATCTATACACTGGGTCTTTCAAATTCATTTGAATATTGTGTACAATTCTAATACAAATGCAAATTTTTTATCATACCTTTTTCCAGAAAAAGATAGATATTATAGAATATGATTATGAAAAGTCTACATAATAAATTTAAAATAGTAAATAACACTAGTTTAAAAAAAAAAAAATTACATTGAAACGAGGTGTTTCCTATAGATTTTTGAAAGTTGTAAAAATATGTACAAAAAATGTAATATTTAATATTTTTTTTGTAAAAAAAATAAAGTTATCTTGAAATTCTAATCTCTAAAATCAAGATTGTTCATTCTAAAAAAAAAAACCCTTTTTTTTTCATTTCAATATTTTTTTTAGCCGTCAGATTTAAATACAAGATTTTACTAAGATAATAAATTTTCCATATATGATGAAGTCATGTGTACTTATAATCTCTATTTGTGGCTATCGATATATACATATACATATATATGCACGCGCGCATGCACACACACACGCACGCACGCACGCACGCACGCACGCACGCACGCACGCACGCACGCACGCACGCACGCACGCACGCACGCACGCAGAGAGAGAGAGAGTGCAATTTATCACTTATTGTGATGGATTCCGTTAAGAGTGTCTTGCAGGCAAACAGTCATAGGCTAACATTACATTTATCCGTTTTTTGCCATTCAACAAATTTTTTAAGTTTGTTAATTGGATATATGAGATAGAAAGATCTGAGAATCTTTTTTTCCTGCAGCCAGTTAACACGCTTGAAAAATCTGTCATACTTACAACGAAAAACGGAAAAATGTAATTAAAATATTAGCTATACATTATGCTTTTCAATTGTATATTAAGCTTTATTGTGTTACATAGTGTTGCTTGTGTACACATTTTTTTCAATGGATCCATAAGAGCCAATTTTCTCAGTGAACAGGTTGTACTCCGGAACTTATTAGAAAAGAAAATGTTGCAACTATTCTGTCCACAACGTTCGTTGCTAAAAAGCACCCATGCATTTGACTGCACGATGACACAACGTGCTCAACATGCTGGAACGCTTGAATAATCTCCAAATGAAAAACGAAAATATTTTGTACGTATATGGGTATATGTATTGGCAATACGTATACACATAGATCGGTATTCATAATCCGTTCTTATTTGAAGATTGTCTTAAGTAACACCTTAAGATACTAATACTTTAGACGATCTTAAATATAAGAATCGATTATGAATACCGGTCATACATACATAAAAAGAATGTTCAGTTTTCACGTTTAGAGGAAATTAAAATTATATGATCAACCTCCTGGTTTTAAACGCTTCTTACGCATGGTCAAGGTGCCCATGTTTTTATACGCCATCTACCAAAGCGAAAGAAACTTCTTCATTATGTTTGACAAAAATACAAAAATTTACGTTCATCTGACATTCGTCTGATCCAGAATCCTATCCACCATTACTTTAACTATATAGTCGAATCGGAACTGATATTTCATAACATATGAATACTTTAAAATATAAATGGATATATACTTATAGAAGAGTTAATTATCATAAACACTGTGTATGTATGTGTGTATGTAGCATACAGTAACACCATCTACCAAAGCAGAGAGAGAATCACCATAGACCGATATTCAAGTTAAGTTCTTGAAATTTTTATACTTGAAATTATCTGAAGTATAGTCTTAAGATCACAAACCAATCCTCTGATAAGCCTTCTAGCCGTATTAGCATTTTAAGACATTACTTAAGACGGTTTTGAAATAAAAACAGATTATTAAATATCGTCTTAGTTCAGTAACGGGTATCTTGCGCGTAGATTCCAGTTGCAGTCGATAATTCATCTCCCCTGGTAAAACGAACGAGAGGAATTATCGATTGCAATTGAAATTCACATACAACAGAGAAAATGTAGAAATAATCATCTCCCATAGTAAAACGTTGAGACATACTGACATACACGAAAATTCATTTTGTCACCAACAAGATATCTAGACATGAATAACATAACGACATGAATGTCCAAAAAGGGAACATAAGAAATTTTTTCCCCAAAAGGGAACAGAAGAGAACATCTTTATATGATGTTTGAAAGATAACTTCAATGACATTTTCAGGAATTTATATCTGCATTTTGGATATATTATTTTCTAGGTACTCAAAACGGTAAAACAGACGATTATTATAAATCTCATTAAAATATTTATAATATTTATAGGAATTGTGGCAGACATCTGTATGATATCTTTAAAACGTCTTATGGTCGTTTATTATATTTTATGGACAATTTCCTTAAAACGTATATTATAAAGATTTTCTTTAGACGTATATAAAGATCACATTTTAAGAGGATCCCAGATAACATCATGTCCAAAATGTGGACACTAGACATTTCGAAGACGTCTTAAAGATCGTTTTAAAATGTCTTATAATATGATATCTGAAAGCAATCTTTAAGACGTCTTTATGACGTTCACATTTTGGACGTAATGTTATCTGGGATCCCAGAACAATATGTTCAAAATGCATACATATGTCTTGAAAACGTTATCAAGATATCTTTCAAATATCATATCATAGATATCTTTTTTTAGACATGCATGTTATCTAAGATTTTATAATTTTATTCGTATGTTTTATTGACTAAATATAATAATTTTTTGTGTCGCATTTTCTTTTTCTTTTTTTTTTTATTGAATTAAAAATCCTTTTCCAGAATTGAAATATACATTAATATGTGTTACGAGGTGGAGCTGATACTGAGAACGGAAAAAATTTTGAAATTGAGATCTTTTTATCATATGTTAATCCAATGTGGCATCTACAGTTGTCAACATCATAACATTTGCTCGATGTAATAGTTTTGCAATATGTATTTACGAAATTGTAGTCTACAGATTAGTATTATAGATTATATGAACAAACAACGTCGTGTTCCTATAATTAGATTTATAGCGATTTCGGTTGGGATGCAATAGTGTGCACTGGTGCATATAAAGCTGTCTATAACACAATTGCTGTAAAAATATATTAAAAACGAATTAAATCGTGCAATTTCCAATACATTCTATTGTATTGTTAATAAAATATATATTTGCATTTTGTTTTTACATTCATAGTGATTTCGTTGGGACGAACCGACTGTATATTTCGAATATCGATGCAAACTGGTGTGTTCGGCTGGTCGAATGTTGCAATCTTTCGTCAATGTTGCATGTTCGTCTGGCTTCAGTAATACACCTCACAAGTGCACACAAAGGGTCGGTTTCACCAACGCTAGTTAATTAATCGACCGTTAACTGACCAATCTCATTTAGTGTTTAGTAGAATTGACCAATTACGGTTGACGGTTAATCCCGATTAGGACTAATCGGCGTTGGTGAAACCGGCCCAAAGTGGTCCCGACAAATTTAACGCTACACACTTTTTTCATGCAATCTCTTTTCAATTGTCTGGCGTCAATTTTGATTATATACCCTATTTTGATGCTGCAAATGAGCGTCGAGCATCAGAAAAACATCTTATTCACGTTATAATGAATGTTTTATATATGTTTATGGAATTGTGTATATTATCGCTATCAAGTGTGATGTGATGAATTAATATACCTGATAATACGTAAAAAAAATAACGAAATTGAAAATTACATTGAAAAAGTTGTGTGAAAAATGTCCAATAAAACAATCAGTTTTGCAGATTAGATTAACTGTAATAATGTGATTTATCTATCTATCTATAATTCGGTTTGTAACATTCTGCGACGTTTTCCGATCTTCAGTATTGGGAGTTTTTTTTGAGCAATGAGTCCTTTTTCTGGAATTAAGTTGCCAGCCTAATGCCCAATCTCCGGTCTGAGGGATAAAGACATATATCTAGTGATATATGGGATCTACCGTTTAACGCCGGATCTGAACAGCACTGGTGATCATAGATCTCTTGATCTCTAGGTAGAAGTCATTTTCAGTTCCTTACACGCGAAAAATCGCGTGTAGGCGCACAGGTGGGATTGACTCGCGTCTACAGATCGCGAGTCAATCGCATCGAGCGGTGAGCAACTCGATGTCTCTTATGTGATCTATTACATAGAAAATATTTATTTACAGTTTCAAAGTTATTTCTAAATGTTACGAGAGACGTACTATACGAAATAATAGAGAAATTCGAAAGGTCAATATTTTACAGTATACAACGATTTTAATATGCATCACTACACACCAGTGTTCCCAGATGAAATCGCTATTAGACGTCTAATTCGATATAAAAATACGTTACGCAAATTTATGCGTATGTATGCGTATGATATTGATGTAGTAGTACGTAGTGATGTATCGATGTGTGTCAATTAACACGTAAATCGTATGTGTGTAAATCCCACTGATAATGAGTCGATAAAACAGACGATTTTAGGATCTATTTTAGACATGTATATTTTCAATCAATAACATAGATATTCTTTTCAATTTCATAGAGCATATACTGCTGCATTAATAGAAAACATTAAAGGAAATCCCTCTAAAGTTGATTTCTTTTCATTATTTTAAATACTAATTTCTGTCTCTCTTATATAACTTTTCTATCAGCGCAGGGTATGTATAATGTTTTATGCAAAACAAATTATTAAAAAATTTGTAATTTAATTTTTTTCGTAGTTTTATTTTTTCTCTTCTTACATAGCGTAAATGTATTATAATTTATTTTAGAAAAAGTGTAACATTTTGGTGCTAATAAGAATATTAAGAAATATTCAACATAAGGATAATGCTAAGAAATTAACAGTTTATAAAATATTTAATTTTCTAATAAATTTTAACAATTTTTAAATATTTTGTACAACACTTTACATAAAATAATGAAATAATGAGATAAAAATATAAGATTGACACCTAAAATACATATTTATATAAGAAAAAATTTACATCTCGACATCTCTTTTTGATCGAGAGTATCGTTTGCTAAAAAAATGTATAACTAAAAAACGTTATCTAAATTTCTTGCAAACGAATAAACTTGCTTCAAGAATACCATAATATATTTTTCTAATGATTATTTTGGAATATCGTATAATCATTGTTTTGACATAAATAAAATATAATTGCTTTTGTAAAGAACACACAACTTGCAATATGTGTTACAAATTTTATTTTTTAAAGCGAATGCTTTTTGCACGATTTATTTCATTATTCTATGTATAAAGTATTTAAAAATAAAAAAATAAATAGTTTATGAAATATTTCACATTTAATGTCGTAATGTCAGAATAAAATATCTTCTACAATATTCTACATTATTAACTTTCTGTTAATCTTATTTGAATACTTTTCTGAATTCAATGTGACTGCAGAAATCAAATTATACAGAGAAAAAAAATCTTAGTTTCTATAACTTAGAAGACATCGATACTTTTAAAATATCAAAAAAATCCCATTTCATTAAAACACTTAAAAAATTTTTTTAATATTACAATTAAAATATATTTCTCAAGAAGAGTATTTCTTTTAATTAAAAAGATATATCATCACCTAGCAACACACACACACGCACGCACGCACGCACGCACGCACGCACGCACGCACAAAATTATAAAATAAGTATAGAAACTATAAAACATGCGAGATGCATGTGTAGAACAAAATTCAAGGTTTTGTTGGTAACTAATTTAATCTTTCTCTTCAATAAATAAAAATAGCATTTATGTACTCTATCTTATTTAGAATAATATTATGCAAAATAAGAAAATATTAAAGATACACTGATTTTTTTTATTTATATCGGTTTCATTTATATATAAAATTACTAAGAAAAATTTGAAATTATTTTTTATTCCCGTATATACAATATCTAATTTATATAAATTCTAAGTGTAAGACTGTACATTGAAGATTGTAAATTACAGATTATAATTTAATTAAAACAAAATAGATTTATATTATTTAATTGATGGATTTTAATCTTCAACCTTCAATCTCCTCTCACATATTTTTCCATTGTACCGAAAAAAATGCTAAACTCTAATAAATCATTTATTTGAATAGTTTCATCTAAATATTTACTAAATACAATATAAAGATATATTTATTAGGTACAAAAACCATTAATTGAACTTAATTGTCATTTCTTTTTGAGTAAATATTTAATTATTCAATTATTTAATTATTCAAAGCATTATTCAAATAATTTTTTTATTAAAATTTAGAATATTTTCCTCAGTGTGTGAACAAGTATATATTTATATATATATATATATGTATATATTCATATTCATAAATAATATTGTTATATTATTATTTATATTATTCAAATATTATTTTAATATTGTTTTACGAATATTTATTATATATATTTGTGTGTTAGGTGTTCATACCGAATAAAGAACTTTAGCTTAATTTGAATAAAAATTTTTTAAATTAATAAATGTAAAACTAAACATTAAAAGATCAACGTGTCATGATTAAACAATTTTTGTGTAATATAAAATATTATGAAGGAAGAGTAGAGGATCAACTCCAATGGTATCAACAGGTTTGTTTTTATTGTTGATCTAGACTGCACTAGAACTTTCCTTATTGCAAATATCAAATATATACTCATTTCATTTTAAGAGAATGTATATACCTAGTTCAGCTCTTTATAAAAAACAGATTCAATAACTCTCAGTTACCGCATGTATTTTTATTTATGTCGTTACCGTACGAAAGTATGGCGTACCCCATCGAGTCCAAGTAGTTTAAATTTTTAATAAAATGATTAAAATAAGGTTGCAAAATCCTTATCTTAGAGGGTCTAAAGAAGAGTCCCCCGTATGAGTTGCCGAAAACTGTAAATTGTAAATAATATTGAACAATAAAAAGTGCATTTTTCATTCAAATAATCATGAAAACTTTCTTTTTTAAATTATTAATTACATTTAATATAGAAATAAAAATAAAAAAATTCAAAGAATAAATAGTTAAAAGTATATATTTAATGATTAAAAATTGTATAAAAAAATTGCCTAACATATTTATTTTCAAATTGCATGATTTTTTACAAAAAAAAAAATTATTAGTTGATACTTATACAGATATATTACATACAATTGTATATAATATATAACAAGTATTTATAAAGATATAAAATAAAAGAATTAAAGAGGAATGAATAGTTGTACATGTGAATAAAAAAAATGTATTTGAACATTTCCTCGAACAAGTATACGTATATACTTTTTTCAAAATTGCACGCACAAGAGATATTGCACGATATTTATAGAATATAATATTCTATATATAGAGTATTACATTCTATGTATAGATATGGAAAAAACGATCACTACGGCTTTTTCACACAACTGATGACAACGCTATAGGTAGGGACAAGTATACAATGAACACTTAACTTATTTCCCCCTCCACATTGAAACCCCTCACTCCCCGGTATCTACAAATCTTGCGCGATTTTTAAACGCTCCGGGTACTCCATATCCCCGTACGGCGAGGGTTAATACGACCTGTCAACACACACGCGTGCAACACGACGCCGCGCGGAGGTGTACATTTGGTACATACACACACACGCACGTACACATGCACGCGCGTGGTTCAGGCTCATCGGGATGAAAAACGTAGACGGGCACGGGCGAAACTTACCCAGAAATCGTTGATCCCGTCGTGTAGATTTTTGATAAGTAATGTGAACGGAATGATACAATTCGCGATGAAATAATCTGGCGGTAATACCGCGTCGTGGAAGATGGTGAGACCCAGTTCGGTCGCCTTTCGTACTTTGTGAGTGAAGATTTCATGCCACACTGGATCCGAGGTCCTCAGCTTGGTGCTAGTACGGGCCAATTTAATTTCGTCCACGTGCAATTGCACGTAGGGGTCCAGTGAAGGCTCCTCATTCTCCTTCCAAAATTGCTTCTGTTTGTCGGTCGCGCGTAGACTTCTGGCTTCGCAGATTTCGATCTGCACCTTGCCCGAGAACATCGTGACGTATTTTGAACGAAATCGACAAACGATCTCGTACAATCTGCAGAGGCAGACAGGGAGAGAGAGAGAGAGAAAGAGATAGATATAGAAAGAGAGAGAGAGAGAAAGAGAGAGAGAGAGAGAGAAAGAGGCAGTAATTGGTAGATTCGCAGGATGGATGCCTGTATTCTTCGACAGATCGAACTAAACAGGTATCACCTCTCGGCAGTCTGGGCTCTCGTGGTGAACGCGCATATATAGAAAATCGCGCGCCCACGCTTTTTACCCTCTCCTGCGCTTCAATCCATCCGGGCGCTCTCCCACTACCACTGTGTGTCAAACGTTCTCCTACGCCTATGCCTCCTCCACCTCCTCCTCCTCGTCGCCCAGGTAGCCCAGGTTACCCTTTCCCTTTCCTCCTCCACCACGGGTACTAACGAACGCGGTGGAATTATGAACACTCTACTGGGCGCTTGCTTTGCGTGCATAACAGGAACGAGCAGCGCGGCCTGTTCGCCGCTTCTTCCCTTCCTGATCGCAGCACGACGGTACGACGGTCCGACGACAACGATGACGACGACGTGCCGAGGAAGACGAGCGCGGGACACGAGTACAGGGCCTGCCCTCGTCTTCTTCTTGTCCCCCTGATACCCATTCCTCTCTTCCGGCGTGTGCTCCTTCCTCGCGTACCTCGGTCACTGTTTCGAGGAAATCGGCGAAACACGTCAATCGGGCGAACTAAGCGCGCGGTGTTCCCCCGACGTTCGTTCTAACGACGATCGCGGAATAACGTGGATGTATCCATGGGTGGTGGGAAACGAGCGATTTTCTTCGCTTGTCCTAGACTATCTTGTACCGACCCGAACGGAATCGAGGACCGCTCGATTGCTTATTTACGTTCCACACTTAACGAACATCGACCGCATTCCAGGCCTACCACAGACAGTTCCGGGAGATTGGCTTAATACTGTACCCGCGAACTACCGACTGTACCGACGGTTTCTTCTAGAGATGATGGAGAAGTACGTTCGATTTTGTTTCAGTCATTATGCCCGTATTGCCGAGTCTGTTCGAAAGTTTTCTCCAAAGTTATATTACGAGTTTCTCAACATTTTTGCCATAATTTTAATATTTCTTTGTATTGTTCTTTCGTTTTTCTCCTAAACATTCTATACCTCTAAAAATTTTCTCGATGAAAAGAAAAATTCTTCAAATTTAGAGAAAAATTCCTCCAATTTGACAAGGTGACAAGTAGATATGTATATATACAGGTGCATATATGTGGTAAAACTTTACTTTGCAAACGTGATACAAGTAGTAAACCAAAGTCGTCCACACGGTGCTAGAATTTGTTCCAAATTCTCAAACTGAGAAATATATAAATAATCAACTGGCCATTTTTCCATAAAAACTATGGCCCGTATTCAGAACGCACTTTTATCGATAAAAGCGCGCTTTTATATCTGAAATTCTATAGTATACGTGACGTAAACTATAGCATGTTAGCACGCTAAAGCCATTGTATGGCACATACAAAAACGTAAGGCTGTAAAACGTAATCAGTAAACGAATTGGCCAATCACAGTAGAGACCGTAAGGCTGGTAGCGAATCCAATGTTAAGCCCATGACACATAGAAAAACGTAAGGCCGTAAACGTAATCAGTAAGCGAATTGACCAATCACAGTTGAGAACGTAAGCGGCGGCTACTTACGTTCTCAACTGTGATTGGTCAATTCGCTTACTGATTAGGTTTACGGCCTTACATTTTTCTTTGTGCCATGGGCTTTAAGCCCTAAACACAATGCGAGGGAATAGCGATAGCGATAAGTTTCACCTTATCAGAAATCGAATACACCGGAATATGCATTTTTGATAGGTTGAAACTTATCGCTATCGCTATTCCCTCGCATTGTATTTAAGGCTTTAGAGTTGGGTTAAAGTACAAGAACTGACCAACCACAGTCGAGCATTCCTCTCTCATTTGACTATAAGATGGGAATACTAAAAACCTATAATCAAAGATGTGCCAACTGTCCCCACCACTACTTCTGCCCGACATTTTGTACCCAACTTCTCACCTAGCCTGGCAGCGTTAAGCGGGGAGCACAGACTTTTGCATAACGCATAAAGCATGTGCATAAGGAATTTCATTGGCCCATTTTCTTATGCATGAGTCAATGGACCAATCAAATTCTTTATGTATATGTATTATGCGTTATGCAAAAGTCTGTGCTCCCCGCTTTAAGGTTGATTTATACTGGCCGTAAACTGTTAACTTATGCCGTAATCTGTAAAAATTGACCAATCACAGTCGAATGAGAGGGGAATAATCGATTATAATTGGTCAATTTTTACAGATTACAGCATAAGTTAACAGATTACGGCCAGTATAATCCAACCTTCACGCTGGATTCACACTACATCCGATTTTCGTCGTACGACGACTCTGCAACCAATCAGGAAACAAAATTTTGCTTCGTCTCGATGATACGATTTTTCTGATTGGTTACAGAGTCATCATACGACGAAAATCGGAAGCAGTGTGAATCCAGCATAAGTTTCAAAGAATAATTATGAGGTCTGTTCGCGTTGCATGAAATCCCCAAATAATTTTACACTTAAAATGAAATAGATATATATTCGGCGTTAAAAAGAGAGAAAGCGAAGATGGTAAGTGCAAAAAGTGCAAGCAACACGAACAGACCTATTGTTATCCACAATAAGTTCCACCCATATAAGGCCTGTTCTTTTTGCCTGCACTGTCTGAACTGGTACATACAGTGCAATAAGTTGAAATGAAACAAACGTATATCTGTTTCACTTCAACTTATTGCATTCTGTGCACCAGTTCAGTAAAAAGAACAGGCCTTCACAATAAGTTCCATCACCAATAACAACCTTGATACATACATATATCTTAAGCCTACGGCACACGGTGCTTGTTTTCCTGCTGGATTGCTAGCTGGATTAGAATCTTGCCACCGTATTGGCTGCGGTGCTGAAAGTGCCAATATCGCGGCCAATCCGATGGCAAGAATCTGATCTAGCTAGCAATCCAGCAGGAAAACAAGCACCGTGTGCCGCTGGCTTTACTCCAAATCTCCTACTTAGAATACTTGGATCAGTGCAAAAGTTCATACCCGATTATCCGAATCCGATTCGTATAGATGGAACTAGTGAAGAAACATGGTGAGTCTATTGGGTCTATTGTTGTTTATGTATGCATATACATATATCGTTGAAAAGATAGCGGTCAGCTGGTCATTGATCATTTAAGCATCAGAAGTGTTTTGAATGTAAGTTGTGAAAAAATGTCATTGGAGAAGATAAACAAGGAGAAGTTGCATTTTCGACATGTGATGCTTTACGAGTTTCGGAAAGGAATAACCAGTGTCGCTGCGACAAGAAACATTCAGAAGGTTTATTTGGACCGTGCACCAGCCCTTAAAACGGTGAGGAAGTGGTTTATTAAATTTCGTCGTGGTGAATTTAGTCTCGAAGATGAACCTCGTTCTGGGCGTCCTTCCATCGATGACGATGTTCTGAGCGCAATAATACCAAACTATACACGCCTTACGACGGAAGATGTTGCTGAAATCCTGAACATTGAGCCATCAATAGCGTTTCAGCGTTTAGAGAAGATGGGACTCACTCTGAAACTCAATACTTGGGTACCGCATTCGTTGTCTGAAAGAAACAAGTTGGACCGTATCTCCGCAGCTACTTCTTTACTCAGACGCATGGAAAAAGAGATTTTTTTGCACCGTTTGGTGACTGGCGACGAAAAATGGGTCTTGTATACCGGCATCAAACACAAGCGTTTGATCGCTGGCAACAGCACTTCGAAGGAAGCAAATGAACCGGCAGATTCAATTGCCAAAGCCAATTTGCATTTGAAGAGGGTCTTGCTGTCTGTTTGGTGGGATTGCCAAGGTGTTATATATTTTGAGTTGCTTCCTGCTGGCCAAATGATTAATCCAAAGAAATACTGCCAACAACTAACCAAATTGAATGAAGCAATCAAAGAAAAACGCCCGAATTTGGTTAATCATAGAGGCGTTATCTTCCACTATACCAATGCCAGACCACACACTTCGGAAATGACTCTAGACAAATTAAAAGAATTGAAATGGGAAATCTTAGTGCATCCACCACATTCTCCAGACATGACACCCTCCGATTATCATTTGTTTCGGTCATTACAAAACGATTTAAATGGCAAGAATTTTGATTCTGTGGAGGTTGTCAAAAATCACATTACTGCATTCTTTAACTCAAAATCACGTGATTTTTTCAAATGTGGTATCTATAAATTGGTTGAACGTTGGAAAATGATTATCGAGAACGATGGCGAATACATCCAATAAAGGCGGTTTTTTTTTTATAATAGCAAATGCTTGACTTTTATTTATAAGTCGAATACAAATTTTGCACTAGTCAAATAGAATTAGTGATTCTATTGATCCAATAGAAATATCACATAAATTATTAATTTTTTAATAATTGTTCCGTAATATTTTTATAAACAGAATAATGAGACAAATCAACTGGTGTAAAGAAAACACATTTGCTTCAAAAAGAATATAGTAGATAAAATGGATAATCTTTTAAATAAGCAACTATGTGTTTTCTCTTTACACTAATTGATTTATTTCATTATTCTGTTTATAGAAGTATTAAAGTACAATTATAAAAAAATTAATATTTCATGAGATATTTAATATTTTATGTCAATATAAATTAGAATAAAGTCTAAAATATCTTGCATAAATGATTGGTTTGTCAGTATCTGTATCTTCACACTTTTATATGCAGACTTAAAGAAATCATAATTATGTAAAAAGTCACACAATTTTATTTTGAAAAGTGGAGTTGACCTTCATATCTTTTTAGTGCCTCCACTTAGACAAAAACTAACATGACAAAAACATGTCCTCCTCAAAACTGTACCACTTTTATCTGAAACATTTTTTTGTATCAAAAATAAGCAAGTTATTTAGGTGATCTGTTTTAGATGCCTGTATGTGTAGCATATGTGAGTGAGATATTGATGTAGTGATGTGTCAATGATACATAATCGTCTATGTGTAAGTGGTATTTCTAATATGACTAAGTTGTCTTAAGAATCTCCTTAATAGTTAGGCTAAAACCAAAATTTGAAAATATAAGTAAAAAAACACATTCCAAAGTTAACACGTTAACGATTTTTTGTAGTGTTAAAATTAAATTCGTGACTACAATGCCATTGTTCCATTTCCTTAAAAGATGAAATTGTATACTGTAATGTTTTGAAGTCGATGAAACTGAATACTATTGAATAGGTAACATTTGAAAAATGGGTCGAGTTATTTTAACCCAGAACAACCATCGTGTGACTTTTTTGAACATGAAGGGTTCATCATGTCTTTTGGGAATATGAACACTTTAAATAGCACTGTAAAATATTACAAGTACCTAATATAACAAAGAAATAGAGATGAAGGGTTTTCTTTCTGAATCTGTATCTCTAAGCGTTAATTTCAAATTTTCAAATTTGTTTATAGTGTCTAAATAGGTTTAAGACATAAGACGATCTTAGAGATAAAATGTCAATTTCTAAATATCAAGCTTGTAAGACTTACTTAAGAATTAATCAATCAGAATTAAGAGTTCAAAAGAATTCTCGATTGTGATTGGCTAATTCTAATGGTATGTCCTACGGTTACTGTTACGGAAGATGTATGCGGGCCCTCTTACAAGTTTGATATTTAAAAATAGACATTTTACTAGAAGTGGGTAAAGTCACTAGATTTATAAAGTACCGCAATCATTCCGCCATTTTGGCTCCAACATCCGTGCATATTCATATGAGTATAAATGTGTGCACACAGACATTGCACAACAGACAGGTTAAATACATTACACTTAATATGTAGATACGTTATGAAAGTGAGCACTATTTACACTTTTCGATGTCATTTTGGTTCCAAATCCTTATACATTGGCCTTATGGATTGCGGTACT